TATCCTGCGTGCTTGTAGAAATTATGGCCTGTTTCAGAGATGTTTTGTTGTATATAAACCAATTTATCGAAACTCTTACTGTTGTCGTGAGTAGTGAAGTTCGTGCATTTGCTCAATTTCCTTGTATCATCAGTCCACTGAACTTCTCAATTTTCTCGTCGATCCAACCTTCAATCTTTTTGTTTCCCTCCTCATGTTCACTCAAATGGGCAATCAAAAGAGGCCAACCAAAAGCGACAAGATTATATTTCAACACCCAACTACATAATATATTCTTCTGTGCTCGTCAAAAACATTACATTACTATTTTAATAACATGGACTAACTATGATCTTGTGATTCGTGTTCCAAACCCAAACACCCTATGGGATTTGATAAGCGAAGTCTTTGTAAGTTTTTTCTCATAATAAAAATTTGAATTTGAATTTGGAACACACCTTTTTGTTCCGTACATTATAAGACGAAGACGCACAAGGAATTAGGATGAAGACCTATTGTTGAAACTCATAAGGATTCAGATTAACAATGAACAGCATAGCATCATACATGTAACGAGGCGAGATTTATTTGTGTTGCACGTTTCTGGTTTGCTTAAATTAGATTCGAGGGCGTCACTGTCAAATATTCGAAATTCTAATCGGAATCGAATAGCACCAAATCGGATTAGGACTGAAAACTCACTTACTAGCTCAAGTTCAGGTAAATCCAGGACGAGCTCTGAAATACAGTGAATTCTATTCAGAGGATCGTGCAGACAAATCACAAGGATCAAGCAATCATTGGCCCGTTCTTCAATGTCCAGTACTCCGTATCCTGATTTTCTACGTGAAAGCTGTATCGTATTGCGTGCGTAACCGTTAGACGATCACCACAAACCACTGATTCCACACGGAAGTAGCCTAAGGTGGGTTGCAGTATACTGATTGATTGATTAGCGCCACTGAGTGACATATACTGAGATCAGCGCTGGCTAGAAGAGAACTGTCTCATGCGAACAATACTAAGGGTATGGATAAATTGGTTTGCATGCAATAAGACAACTCATTCGGAACATGTCATCATAGTTCCCACACGAATACAGGATATTAAATGTACCGGTTCGCAGTTACCATTTCTCAACACAGTGATTTACTCTATGAGGTCTGGTTGATTTTTGGTTGTTGTTAGAAACCGCCAATCCAATTCTTTTGTGCAACCCAATCATACTACTCACAAATGTGAGTAGGACCTCACAATATCTGATATCTCTCACTTAATTGGCCAAACGGTCTGAAACTGTTACTGACTTTTACAGCAAAATAACAAATTGAGGCAGAGGTCACATCTGGAGATGGTAAAAGAACAACTGAAGAACCCTATGGAACTGATCTTTTCGACGATCTCAAGTGGTTGAAACAAGAGATCCTTTGGTTTAAAATGTTTCTGAATGGAGACTCATTTTATAGGGCACTAGCATTTGGAACAGTGGCTTGTTTTGAATAAAACGTCTGAATTTATTCATTGGGACGAATAGGTTTTGCGAGGATTGTGTGACACGGGGCATGGACACAATGACGGTAATCACAAATCACGAGATTTGTTTTTGAATTTCAAAGTCCATGAAACTTTACTGTCGTATTTCCACTCGTCTAGTTAATGGAATCGTTACTTTTTTATGCAGACTATTTTACTCTAGTTTGTTTGTCTAGACTTAGAAGTGTGGGAAATATGTAATGTATGTTGTTTCTCTGGATAGTTCACTCCTTCATTTTCATTATTCTTCTTTTCTCTGTTCTCATTCGTCACCGTCTGATTTGCCCAATAAGATGCCTGGACCGAGAATAATGGCAGCAGTTATGTGATAGATTCAGTTATATAAGCAATAGCGGAACAAACCCCTTTCTGTGGGAAACATGTTGTTGTTACATCTAAGAGTCAAGCCTTCGACTGGAGTTTTCCCATCATGAGAAATTACGTTATCTATCCACTACGTTGATCAGTAATTTATTTATTTATTTCATGGCAAACTATAATCTTATAATTATCTATTCAATTGGAGCCTATTTAAAAAAAAATTAATTTGTAGTAGTAACACATGTTGTGTCAAAAGATGAAGTTGCACTGTTCCTGGAGTTATTACACATTATAAATATTTGGAGGATGATTATAAACAATACTGATGGATAAAGAATGGCAAAGATTACTCACATTAGAAGCAAGAGATCAACTGCACCACACCAAGTGAATCCATGGAGTCAATAATATTGAGGTGCATGAATTGGGACAAGGTGATTGGGCTAATAACTCCTTACCTATTGTCAGTAGGTTCACATCGCTGTTATGTAATAGTGGTTTGAAAGAAGAAGCGTCATGGGTGCAGTAAATGAAACTGGAATTTTTGTGGCCGCATTGCTCGCGGGCGTGGGGTTGCATCGTCGACTTCATCAATCCGTTTGGTCATTCGTTGTAATAGTCTACGGCTGGATCTGCCTATCGGTGCGCAGCCGCAACTGCTGGTATACGAGACAGAAATGGCTTGCCAAGCCTGTTTATGGTGTTCAAAATCAATACCACTAGTAGAGCTCTGATGAGGATTGCCTTTACAAAGCTCACTTGACATAGACAACTTTTTTCAGACAAAGTTGGAGGTGTGTTATTAGATCTGTTGAGTAATGTTGTTATTAGTCACCGATGTAAATAAGACTTCCATTCCTCAACACCCCACACGCCAGCCGCTTTCGATTCTTTTGGTTTTACTTGGAAGTTTGTCATAGCATGGGGTATTTCAGTACGTTTTCATCATACTTGAAGTTGTTAATGTTTTTTGTACGTGATGGAACCAAACTTCTTCTCCTTTATCAGTTTCGTAGGAAGACTAAGAATCGTCGAATTTCAAAACAGAGTTTGAAATTTAATCTATGTGTGTTATTTTGGCCATTCTTCGCGGGTACTACGGATCCAATAGTTCCAGTTTTCTGTCATCCTCTTGTGGACGGGACCATATTTCTCAGTTGTGCGGTACTGACTATGGAGTGGTAGTTTGAAAGACTCCTTATTTTGTTCACAGGTTTATTTATCTGCGTGTAGAAATAGTTTAGAGAAGCTCTGTTCACGAGGTCAATATGGACAAGGAATCTTGTCCTTGGACAAACCGATAGGTAGAATCGTTGTTAATCGATATTTAAACCGTGTGACGTATCCCATCACTGTATCACTAGTTGTCATCTGTTGAGCTTTGCCAGGTTAGAAGGTGGTGGCAAATATTGTGTGTTCAATAGCATCGTCTTGTTCAATTTTCTTAAAACAACTTTTTGGCTAAAAATATATTGCATCTGCATGTTCTAAGCCGGAACTCTAAACCCCAGGGATTGATTGAATACAGGCGTTCCTCCCATAAAGATTACTTCATTATCCAGACCATCACAAAATTTAACTACACAGAAAAGAGCAATCAGACTCGTCTCATATCTGAACTTAGTAATAATTCCAATGGTCCTTTTTCGTGAATTCGAGCGCGAGCTCGTGACGTGCATTTGTACTCTTCTCTCTGTTTTTCATGATCTTCCATAGGGGTTATCCATCCATGGAATCGAATACTCAGATGAATTCCATGAACAGAGTGGCAGTTGGCAGTTATCGAAACTTATAGCGATGTTTCGAGTTTCTTCAGAGTCTGGAGATTGGCTTTGTACACTCTTCTCCAGAACAGACATCTTTTTCTGCTCTTAAACGGTCGAGCAAAGTCACGAAGACAACTTTGGCTGCTTTAACACTGATACCCATGCAGTCAGCGCAAACTGTTTCATCACCTTTCTTTTGGAATGAAAATGATAATTTAAGTGCTCCAAAACAGTTAGAAATACCTCACTGTCCCAGATTGGTTGCAGAGAATTTAATAGAGTGCGAAAAACAGCCTTGTTTACTTCTGCTGGGTTTGTGTCTTTTTCAATGGCTTTCGTATTTTTCAGTTTATGAATTTCCTTAGGAATACTTAATCCTTGAGGCGACTTCCAATCCCCCCCCCGGGTTTGAATGAGTTTGAAGATTCCAAATACGGAAGCATGATATCGATCAATTTGATATTGTGTCAGAATATTCAGCCCGTCGTTGCATCATACCTTTCCGCTTGGGAATGGGCTACTCGCTTGCGTTAGGCGGTGTAATTAGTACCATTGGTGTCTGCCGGATTAGACAAAAGGGTGTTCTGGAAACTATTTTGGAGACAATTCCCATTTTTTCCGTGATCTCATACCTTTATTTATTGTGTCGTTTCTAGGCGATCCAGTGACTTCGCGAATGAGGTTTCGAAAGCTACCTTACCTGTTATGCGCGCTTTCTTTGCTTTGGTTGATAGCTGCAACTTTCTGCTGTTTATTCAGTCATTTTGAAAGTATTGTGCGATCACGAGTTCTATAGAACTTACTTTCTGGATTTAGATCTTCTAGATCTTATTGAGATTCAGTTTGTTCTACATCACTTTCGGTTACACGATTGCAAGGCAGCTGCGGGATTGTTGCAGCCAAGAATGTCTTATGTATTCTTTAAAACTGTCATGGAGTCAAATTGATTTTACCTTGACGGCGCACTTGGTGTCGAGCAGTAAGATGGCTGTTGAAACGTGCTCGGACAGGCATATCTCGCATGCCATGTTGATCCCCTATTTCAATGCCCCTGTAAGATCGATGTTCTTCGATTTGGGATGTCCAACGAGATCGGAACAGGAAGTAGTCTAGTGGATGAGCTATGCATCCGTCATTGGAATACCATGTAAACTGATCCTTTTTTGGATGCTTTAACTGCGTTTTGAAACTTACTAACCAGTTGCAATCCGATTGCCGTCATCTCAGCTGGCGCCTAGACCGAATTTCCTAACATGTGGCTGAGGGCATCGTTGGAAGTGCTACTACTCGCGTCCCAATCACATCAAATGGACAGAACATCTGGTCTTGGCTTCCATTTCCCTCTATCCTCTGGTTCACTGTAGCATATTTCCTTAACGTCGGGCCCCTTTGCAAATGTGGGAATATAGACTGAAATGACGAAATCGTTGAAGAGATTGTCTCTAAACCGAACTATAACGATTCTGCGGCAAATGCGTTCCCCGTTGATCAGGGCATTATTGGCTACAGAATCCGCCAAACATAAGATTCTACAGTCTATTAAGTTATTCGACACAAGGCGGTAAAATCGCAAAGATGGTCAAAATATATATCGGCAGGATTAATAACTAGATCAGCTTATTCTTCACCAATGAGCTGCGGGTTGCGAGACAGTAAAGTACCTGTAAATGCAACACATAGTAACGAAAGAAAGGCGAACACAAAAACATACAGAGAGTACAGAGCGTGACAGTGAATGACACAGATTTCGAAATTCAGAATGCACTCATAGCCCCACTCGGAGAAGACCAGGGAGGGGCCGCAGGCCCACGGGGAGGCTGGTGGCCTTTGTACGGTCGACTAATGGGATGTTAGAAGCCAAATGCGGTGTTTTGTGTGCATGTATGGATAACTAATGCCAATCTGATACACATGTGTAGTTTGTGCAGCAATGCACTGATTTCCTGTGTCCAGCAGGATGTGTACAATTTCAACAAGGCGAGTGCTCTGTGTCAATCATGCTAGTTAGATCATGTTTCCCCTCAACGAGTGGAGAAGCACTAGACTCGGTGCTTTTCGGGGGGTGCCTTAGCATGAGTAAGATTGAGATTTTCTATTGAGAATTTCATGAAGACGTTCGGAAATGGTTTGCGAAGTGGGGGGGGACACCGCCTACATTACTCGGCTTCTAATTAAGGAGGTATCTCCAGCCCTTGTACACTCAAGTATTTAATGCTAGACAGTTAAGATTTAAGTGGCTTATAAGTAACAACAGACAGTGAAGCGGAGTTCAGACCCCCAATTTGGATGCAGTAAACTTGCTTCTTTGGAAGTTCTGTAGGCATCGCGTTCAGTAAACTCAGTTCACTAAACCGGAGTGTGAATTATTCTAGCCGATTGGCTGTGCATCCACCGTTCTCAATTCCCTACAAACATATGTGATCAGAATGTTGAAAGTATGTGGCGGAGATCAAGAACTCAGTATTGCACATATTGGAACCCGCAAAACAGTGCATCAATCATATTATTCACCGGTCATTTCATTAGTCAGTGTTTGCTGCTTATTCTGATGATACATAGAACTCTGGCGAGACGGGCAGAAAAATTTCAACCATTCTCATTGTGAACCGCACTCAGGCTTATCTCGACTGTATAATCAAGCGAGCTGAACCACCATCTGAATATCTTACTGATATCATAGGCAGTTGTGCGTTACCGAATTCAGTTAAGGCTTCGAATTTTAAGCCTGTTTCTCATGCACAGCAGCTTCAGTTTCAGTTTTTACAACCATTAACCGTGCACTTTCGTGCGCCGGTTTTGGTTGTTGTCTTTTGGCCGTCCATTTGGATCAAAGAGCACTAAAAACATTGAAATGCTACGAGCAGAGTCAAAGGCAAGATAGGAAACTCATAAAGAATGCGGGGTGCAAGAATATTGAGTAGATGCGCAAATGCGCCACTGTTTGTGTCACTCAGCTACCTCATTCAACGTCTCTAACCGCCAGTTACCACAATTTCGGGGTACCCATCAAGAGACCTATGTGACCCAGTCTAGTGGTTAGGGTTTTCATACCCTCATGCACTGTATACTTTTATTTCGTGAAATCCAGCAAAACCCAGAAACCGAATGCCTTGGTTTTGTACTCGGTCTGTCACTAGGGTCAAATATCGGAACGAGACCATAGCAACCAGATCGATTCCGCAGTTCGAGAGAAACAGATCACCCAATCCATCTCTCACACATCGGATCTCCTAGCCTCGGCTGATCCTTCTGGATTTCATGGAGACGAATCTGTCACTTTGTCCACTGTCACACGGGATGAACTCCGTGTATACCCGGTAAGTCCAACTGGATTTATCACTTATCCTTTTCTATCTGATTTAGTAATGACAAATTCGGAGAATAAAAATGCACCTAAGGAGATTGAATGAGTGAAATGGTTGTTCAAAATTGTTCAACATTCAATCCGGTTGATTAAGATACAAATTTTTACGTTTCTTAATTCTCATTATTATTATTATCTAGTTTGTGTGAAACAGAACATATCGATGATAACTAATGATCCACAGTTTTCTGAATGTATGTGGTATTCTTAAAGTAAACAGAATCGAATGGAGCAAACTCAGACTCGACCTGGAAACCCACTGACAAGCATGAAGTAGTGTAAAAACAAGAGTAGCCGTGAAAACACCGAATCATCTTCGGGAACACGTGCAATATATATATATATATATATATATATATATATAGTACGCGTGTGCCAATCGAATCACTGTACAGGTGACTGAACATACTTCATCCCCTTTTAATTCTCAGCAGTTTGTACAGTACAGAATCCACAAGGTATCAAAAAAGGCATAACAGATGTGGAGACGCATTTTGAAGAACTTATAAACATGCATAGTCCAGCATGCAAATCTTCATAGCAGTATACTATAGAATAACTATTAAATCTAACGGGTATATTGATCGATAAAGTTGTGGCCAGAAAGACTGTGATAAAACTGATAGTGTTCTCCTAAGCACTACCGAGAATGTGCAGTTTTTAAAGAATCTGGGACTCAGCAAAGGGCTTCTGGGAAAGCCCTTTTGAGGATTCGTCAGAAGGTTAGACGTAACCGAGCGAAATTCGTAAGGCAACATCACTGATTCAGAATTGTGAACAGTAAAACTGGTTAATCCAGATTCTCAAGCACTTTTGTCCTCCTGGTTCTGTTGGTTTTATACCCTGAACCGCATGATGTCCCAATGGATTGCATGTAGTGATTCCTAACCAAGGGGATACCGAGACTTCAAGACCAATTTCGGATCGCTAGATATTCTGATTTAGCAGAGCTACCGAACTATCATTAGCTTGTTCTAATGCTTTATTTTCTCTCTCATTTCGTTTCCGTCCATTATTTTCGCTCTTTCCCTCCCTTAATATTCAGTCACCAGCTGGTAAGTATTGTGTGTGCGTGCGTGCGTGCTTCAATGCCTTGTGGATTCTTTACATACCTGGTTGTCATCTGACCGTATCACGTGATCTGTGCCCATATAGATCCAATTCGTCTCCTTTATGTTTCAGTTAGGTCGTGCGGTTAGACCAATAAATCGATTTATTTACGTTTCACTGGTTCATCTAAGTTGATCACTGACTTTTTCTAAGTCGTTCTCCGCGTATCATCTTTCTGACAAATCACGTAACTCTTGGGGCCATTGATGATATTGAAAAAAAAAATTAGATTTGTTGGTCATTATCATTTTAGTCCTGTTAACTTGGTGAAATTAAGCTGTACTATACAGGAACTAAGCAAAGCACAAACAAACACCTAACAGAAACCGAATGCAGAATTTAAAAACTCTAATTTAAGCACGTCTAAACTCCGGAATCATTTGGTTGATCTCAGTTGCTTACTGTAGATACTGAAACAGTTCATCTAACACGAGTGATGGTAGTCTGTCCCGATAGTTTAGTTCCTGCTCCCATGGTTATCATAACAAAGCCAGATTAAGTTAGGCCTCGTTCTACTAGCCTCACTTTTGTTTTCAGTGCTTCAGTACAATATTCTATGCGAATCTCAGAAGCTACGCATTCCGAACTACCTCCATACATATATATATATATATATATACCACGTAACCAATCACATAGAATTGACAGATGTGCCACAACGTATGAAAAGGGAGATGTGAAAACGGTTTAAATATGAATCAACGAATAAGGGTCTCGCAACAGGTGAGCCATTGACGCTGGTTACTTGCCACATCTGCAAGTGTATCTCGATCCTTTGAACCCCTACCTAGGAGTCTAGAGCGTCCTACCAATATCAGTTTTTAGGTTACAGCCTTGGTTCTTCTTCGAATCTCCATGTAAACCGGTTCATAAATATATTTCACGAGTTCCACATCAACCGAAGGCAAAACGATACTTCAGGCCCATTATTATTTAGGAACCTGGGGGGGCGGGGGGTGGGGTATGAG